GCCGGAAAGAGGGAAAAAGTATAGCCACTTTAAAGGCCGAATTGGCCCAACTTAAAGAGCCTAAGGGCCAACTTAAAAGAGCTTAAGGGCCAAAATATATAGAGTTTGAGACCTCGCTCTCACTCAACTCGGACTCAAGAGTCCCATTATTCCGAACTCATATCAAACTGATTTAAGCTTAGCTCGAGGATTAACAAAACCTTAAGGGGTATTATATTGATCAATAAAAATCTAAGGGTTTATTATGTTCTGAGTCCGAATCAATACTCGGACTGATTGTTTGAATTATCGAAATCTTCCGCAAATGAAAACAAAAAAGATTCAACACAAGTTGAGGATAGGGCGAAAAGATACTTTATATTCATGAGGGGTGTTTTACAAAACATATTTACAACGCCCGCAAGGGGCCCTTGCACAGAAAAGAAAAAGAGAACCTAATCTATTTTTGGGATCATATCCCCGGGAGTGCCATCCTCAGGAACTGCACCTTCGGCAGCTGTATCTTCGGGAGCCTCCTCCTCCTCGGGAACATCTTCTTCACCTTTCCCATCTCCGGAGCCACTCGCTACATCCTCATTATCGGAAGAGCAAGAAACCTAGCATCAGTTTCCCGCACCTTTGCCTCGACTATCTCCTCGGCAAGGTTGAACCCTCGGGCATGGATTTCTTTGAGAGTCTCCCTCTGGGCTTGGCACTTGGCCAAATCATTGCTCTGTTTTCCCGGTCGGAGGCCTCCCTCAACTCAGCTTGAACGGCCGCGTCGTCCCTTAAGTATACGGCAATGGATTTATCAGCCGCAGCCTTCGTCTTCTCAGCTTCAGCCTTAGCCAGTACAGCTTTGGCCCTGGCTCTAGTGAGCTCTGCCTCCAACTCCTCAATATTCTTGGATAGAGCCAGACCCTTCGCTTTAATGCCTTGGTGCTGAGTTTCAGCCGAGGCCAGTTGGGCTATAACAATTTCCTTATCGGCACCGAGCTGATCCATGTTCTTCTTCCAACTATGACAATCAGCTTTAACTTGATCAACCTCGCTCCGGAGCTGCCCAATTATCTCCAACTTTTGCTGCAGCTGAGATATCGAAGTGTTAGCCTCCAAAGTAGGGTCAAGAAGACTGTACCCTGTTAATATCACATTTACCTGCTTATCTAGCTCGGCCTCGTTTTTCTGGGCTTTGGCCAACTCAGCCCGAAGATCCTTATGCTCCTCCTTCTTTTGGCTATAGAGGAGCCTCAGGGCCTTCTCTTTGCCCGAAACTTTCTTGAGCTCGGCCTCACATTGGCTCAGCTCAGCTCTAAACTTTACAATGGCCTATAGATGAAATGAAGATACATCAGTCAAAGGAAAAGAAAGAAAGAAAAAAAATACAAAAATGAAAGTAAGTATTTACCCGAGAGAGGAGATGTTGGGCCTCTTCGATGAGGGTGGATGCATTATTAAGGTCGGCGGTATCATCAACCCCAGCAAAGAAACTCTGAAAGGGATCTTCTTCAAGGACCTTGTTCGGATCGGGAATACGCAGAGCGTTAGCTTCTTCTATATCCCCCTCGGAATAAGTTGGCAAAGAAAGGGTGTGACCTGTTATCATGGCCCCGAGCTCGTCACTCGGGGCGTTCTCATTAGCTTAGGGGGTCTCCGCATTTGCCCCTTCCGGCATATTTGTTGAAGACGGAGGAACGATCTCAACCTCCGGGGACACGGGGGCTTGCCCGCATCTTTCTCTGGGGCTCCTTCACCACGGGAGGAGATATCTAGTTCGGAGGGCTTGGCGGCCTTGAGTGGTTTCCTGGTTCGAGGCACCAAAGCCGACTCTTCACCATCACTTTCTTCCTCATCCGGGGAATCGTGGGCCGAATATGCGTCCGCATGAGCAAATCTCTTCCGCAGCCTTCGAGCAGGGGTTTTCTTATCTTGAGGGCCTTCAGGCTTCGAAACCCTCTTCCTTTTGTTGTCCTTCCCTAATTTCGGAATCGAAGGCTTGGTCTTTTCCTCGGGCGGAGCCGGACTCATCTCGGATGCATCTCCAAGGCATGCACAAGTAAACGTGAGTAAGTTGACGCGACCAATATATGAAAAGTATTTGAAACTTGGGAAAAGCACTTACCATGATTATTTCCCTCCCACTGGCCCTTCGATAATTCACGCCACTTGTGCTCATTGTAGGAGGAGGTGGCAACTAACTTTCGGACCCAATCCTCGAGGTCTGGCACAACGTGGGGCGCCCAGGCAGTGGCTGCCAAAAGAAGGGTAAAGGCATTATGAAATGTGAAAGCAGAATATGAATAGATACTGGGGAAAAGAACTCCACTTACGATTAAAGTTCCACTTCTCCGAGAACGGCATTTTATCCCTGGGGATGACATCCGAAGTTCTTACTCTGATGAACCGGCTCATCCAACCTCGATCTTTGGTTTCATCAGTATTGGCAAAGAATGCTTTCGTAGTTCGACGTTGCAGCTTGATAAGCCCTCGAGATAGTTGGGGCCGATATAATCGAATCAGGTGGCTGAGGGTGAATTCCAATCCCTCGGCCTTTTCGGAAAAGTAGCACAACATGATCACGATACACCAAAAAGAGGGGTGAATCTGGCCGAGGGTGACTTCGTATGTTTTGCAGAAGTCGATCACCACCGGATCGAGGGGACCCAGTGTGAAGGGGTAAGTGTAAACACTTAAAAAACCCTCCACGTGGGAAGTAATGCTTTCCCCGGGGCTTGGGATCTTAACCACGACCTCATCTCCCCAACCACAGTCCTTCTTCACATCTTTAAGATGCTTCTCCGATATCAAACTAAGATATCGAGATGCTCGCGCCGGCCTGGGACATCGGGGGATTTTCAATGCTAAAGTCCTTCTTAATCACGCAAGGGCCCGGGGTGATTTCTTCAAGAGATGGTACCACCAATGTTGCCGGATGAGAGGTAGAAGAAGTTGACGCTTGATCTTTTTGGGGGGCCGTTTTGGAAGTTTTAACCATGATTTCAAACTAAAGGATACAGAATATGTCAGAATGTGGTATTTTTTACAAGAACTTGGCATTTTTCGGCGCCTAAAGAGGTAGTGGAAACAGGTGATTAGAGAAAGAGATGAAGAAGGGAAAGATGTAAAGAAAGAGTAAAGTTCTTTACTCAAAGGAATAGCCTCATATTTATAGAAGGGCAACGACGGTTCAGCGGCGCTAGTGGCCGACCAATACTGGCTTGCGTTCAATGTTTTGGAGAAGTGGACCGACGGGACGTTTCAGTCACTTCGAACACCTGCGTCACGGAAATGACGTCATCACTAAAGAATTCGAGAAAATAAGGATCAAATCGTTTCTTATCATCTTACTCTAAGAAGCGCGGGGACTATCTGTATACGGTCAAAATCGTATGCCTCCGATTTATAGGCCCGAGTTCGAGCGAGGTCGAGTTCGAGACCGGCTGACCAAACTTGAGCTCGTAGACAGAGTGCGACGCCCGGAGATAGGAGTGCGAGGAATACCGGGGCCAAGTGTGCTCGGCCCCGAAATAGTACCGTTATGAATTTGTATCAGTGCGAGCTACATTCCTTCCACGTCCCAAAAGTCATGGCACAAATCCCGGAATACGATTGTATGATTCCGTACTAGGCGGTTAGAAAACTGTACCAAGAAGATTCCTTACTGTAAATAGAAATATACCTTATTTGGGGGTTTTCCTATTATATAAAGGGGACCCCAACCATTTATAAGATCATCTTATCACTTAGCAAAGAATATACTCTCTACCTTTTCGCCTACTGTTCATCAGCATTGTCCTTTAGCTCTATTGTTCTTACTTTACCTTTATTACTTAATTGTTCTTATTATTCCAAGCCTACCTCGAGGTCATTGAGCTCGAGGTCACTGATGCTGAGTAACATTGGTTTGATTCACTTGTCTCTTCCATTTCTACTTCAAACTTCTTGATTATTAATTGGTATTGAACTAAATCACCTATCTTTAAAACCACAAATCAAATTTAATTGTTACTCGTATTTTCGAGGTAAACAGTTTGGCGCCCACCGTGGGGCTAAAGATAATAGTGATTATTTCTTTACTGATTCTCGTTACACAAGTTGTCTTTACACTTTTTCTTGTCAAGATGTTTTGATTCTCAGGCTGAAACATGTCTAGCACACAAAACACGCATGTTCATAACAACGAAGGTCTTGGAGAAAACAGCAGTATAGGGGTCGGTGTACCACCAATAAACCCTGAGGAAGTGCCAAATATGGAGCCAGTTGATATCAGTTCACATAATGCTCTAAACGCGGATTCAGGCATAGACCTCGTAGGGAATGCATGCAGAGAAGCCCGACCAGTAGACGAAGGAACACCGGGAGTAGGAGATGGGGGAGTCAGCCTCCAAGTGATATTCAAGATGTTACAGGCTCAGCAAATCGCCATTGCTCAACTTCAAAGTCAAAATAAAACTCCGAGCGTAGCTGAACATGAAAACAATCGACGTGCTGAGCCGACACCAAAAAGGTTAAATGAAAACGGCTCGGGGACTGACCCCACGATTATGAAGATGCTCGAAGAGCTCGCTAAGAGGATCGAGTCCGGAGAAAAGAAAATTGAAGACAATGATAAGAAGGTGGAAACTTATAACTCCCGTGTAGACCAGATACCGGGGGCACCTCCAGTTCTGAAAGGATTAGATGCCAAAAAGTTCATACAAAACCATTCCCCCAAAGTGCGGCTCCGATGCCTATTCCTAAAAAGTTTCGCATGCCCGACATACCCAAATATAACGGAACAACCGAACCTAACGAGCATATTACTTCATACACTTGCGGGATCAAAGGAAAATATTTGAATGATGCCGAGATTAAATCAGTCTTGTTGAAAAAGTTCGGAGAAACATTGTAGAAAGTAGCCATGATTTGGTATCACAACTTACCTCCTAACCCTATTAACTCATTTGCTATGTTAGCAATCGCCTTCGTAAAAGCACATGCCAGAGCCATAAAGGTGGCCACGAGAAAATCAGACGTTTTCAAAATAAAACATAGCTGCATTTACTTCCATGAATTTATTCCGACCATAAAAAAGAGATGATAAAAACCAGATTTCTGATCAAAGATAAGACAGACTAAACAGCACTCTCTTCTCCTTCCCTCTTTTCAGGAGAGCCAGAGTGCATTTATTTTAAAAAACTGGTTACACTATTTCAGCTTTCTGAAATATCCTTGTAGCTCGATATTTATTTAATTGATAAATAGCCATTGATCCGGCGAATAAAATTGCGCCTCATATAGTGGTCATGCATCAACCTTCTTGATATATGCTGAATGTCTATCAACAACAAGCTCGACTAATGGACACTCAACCTCAGCCCCAGCCTGAGTGCTGTCCCTGCGAACTGTGACCTTTTCATGCTCTGTCACAACTATAACTTCCTCTTTACGGGTTGAAAGTTCGTTTGCTATCACCATATGCATCTTGTATTTTTTGAGGGCCATATCAGCCTTTGCTAAAAGGATATCTTGATCTGTTTCTAGCTGCCAAATAGTAGATGCGAAAATTAGTAACGAAATGATATGATGAACTTCCCAACAAAATTAAATTTGACATCCAACAAATGGATTAGATGACAAAAACTGTCCAGATTAACTGCAGAAAGAGGCGTATCTCATCGAAAGAATGACAAGCATATTAGGTGCCTCAAGGACAAATAAACGAACTTCTGACATCATATTTTTGTAAATTGATTAACCTCATATTTTTCCAAACAAATGTTCAAATAATTACTAACTCAATGGGGTAGGCAGGGGCGGATCCAACACTTTGGTACCGGGTGCATCTGACTTTCGGCGCGAAGCATAAGTTTATGCGTAGAAATTCACTGAAATTGCAACAAATAGTGTATATGAACCCATAACTTTAAAAATATAATGGGTTCAAAGCAAAAAACTTTAAATGTTGAACGCATAGAGTTTAAACCCTGTGTCCGCCTCTGGGGTAGGCCTTCCAGCTTTTAAGCATAAACAGTTTCGAAGCAAGATTAGGCTAGCAACTTTACAACATTCTATATAGATTTGATCAAAATATTCACCCTCCCCTCACCGCTCCCGCCCCTCCAAAAAAGAAAAAAAAACCAACCCAAACAAGACTAATCCAATCCAAACCCAACAAAGACCCAATACTGCAGAACCTGATACCAAAATCCTTGATTTTTCCATTCACTTATGTGACACAAATAGACTCGAAACACATTGAGGAGGTACTTTGAACTAACTCTACATTTTTTATTGTATAACGGTACAAGTTTTTTTAAATGTTAGATTCCATAAGTACAGCTCGTTTGACAGAAAACAATCTACATTATACTGACATACAAATTCATTAATGAGTTTTAACTGTTGTATTTTGTGAAAGATCTAAAATATTAAACTTGAAAAGTGAGTCAAACATTTAAAAACAGCTCAAAAGTAGATTTCTGGAGTTGCAAAACTAAGATTAAAGGAACTTGACTTTGATCATGGAAGTGGATCATATCAGGTGTCTTTCCAGTTCATCTTGACAAGCGAATTTAAATAGCAAAATAAGTAAACATACACAATACAACATAGGCACACGCACACCATACATAAATACACTCACATACAAAAGATGTTAGATATTCAGGATTCCTGTCAAGGCTTCACTTCTTCACAAGTAGAGCTTTTTTGTCTTTTCTAAAGACAAAGTACAGCATTGTTAAAGTTCATAATTTTACCAAACCATACAAGAAGATCACCAACCTTGAAAGATATGTAGAAGGCCATTGGCGCCCATTCATTCCTTAGCATTGAAAGCATTTTTGGTACTTGGGCGAGTCGCATGTCCAGAGGACCAGATGCTGACTGGATCTTATGTAAAGTCTGAAAAAGAGCTAATATGTAAAAATATAGCAGCACATTTAGAGGAAACAGATCTAGTACCATTTTCTCTTTTATAAGTCGATTCAGACATGTCATACAACTACCATTTGCAATATGTATACATATATATAGAGAGAGAGAGAGCGAGAGGGGGGGGGGAGCATTGGGATACAAGAAAGAAGGACAAGTAAGATTCACAAAGCACTAAATCCATCCATTCCCTAACGCAAATACAATCAAAGCACATGCTAAATAGGAGAAAATATATTCAAGAGCATAAATGGTTACCATGCTTTCCCACGGAACATAAAAATCAGAAACGGCAGCTGCAAGATAGAAAATAGCACTAGGCCCAAGGCTCCTCAAAGACGCAGAAATTAGCTGAAGAATCTGCCAGTAAAAACAATCGCATTAATAAAAGTGCTACTGGCCTCTGCAGAGCACGCTAAAGAAGTTCATATGAAGTTTCGACAATACACATTGATTTTACAGTGAAACAGATTTCAGTGATCTATTAAAAGAAACCTGCAAATACTCAAATATTGTCGTAAATGGAAGTTTCAACAGGGTGCCATCAGCAACTGCCTGCAATAATTAAATTCTTCAGTGACTGTTCAAATTGAATAAAGATAACATTTAGAACAAACAAATAGGAAGAAACAGAATAATAAGTAATAATCCATACTGCACGATTTTCAGTAATGGCTCTCTTCACTGTTTCAGCATGCAATGGATCCACTATAAAACAAAGCAACAGAAAAATGGTCATTAGATTAAGAAATGCAGATTGATCAACAAAATCAATTGAGATTCAAAATGAACTATGATGGTAAAGATCTCTCCGAGTAAACTTAACCCGCGCGGGGATGAAAACAGCATTGAGAAATAGGAAAGGAAGAACAAGCCAATCAATAATAAGATTTGCAAACTCCACCAGATGAAAAATTTGTTTAAAAGGGGACATTGAGCATATGTCATTCCCAACAGGGAATCTCCTTCTCTTTTCTTTTCCTTTGTCTTATGATTCTCATAAGCTAACAGATACCTAGTAGAAGAATGACAAGTTGGATTAAGAGAGTAGCAAGTCATTTTAGTATAGTTAAATACATGTATTTCGATTTAGAGAATCTCTACTTTTAGCGAATCCTAAGTGCCCTAAAAAGAAAACTTATTATAAATTTTGAACGGGAGGTAGGAATAAAGTGGAACAGATATAGAGGATTCATATGGCCGACCCCAATTAGTTTGGATTGAAGCTTAGTTGAACTGACTTGTGACTTTCTTTACCTTATGATTCCCTCCATCTATTTGATTATGATTCATCTGCACCTCTATATTGTGAAGTATTGAGCATTTGACAATTATGTATGTGGACCTACAAAGTTTATATGGGATTCCTAGAGAACATGCTGTAAAGAGGCAGAACTGCAGAAGTATGAAGTTGGTTGATACGAATGTACCATGAACATCAATATTGAGCGTGAAAATATAAAACTACACACCTTCAATATTTGAATCATCAGCTACGCTAAAGCACTCTAGCAACGGATCGTCGGGCAGCAAACTACAAAATGGCTGGCAGGTCCCCCTGTATATTTCATGGTGTTATTACTCTAAAATCAACTCATCTCGATAATCAGATAAATTAACTTGGCACTTGAATACAAACCTCCGGTAGAGAAAGATTACAGAATAACCTGCCTTCAAAAAGTATCTGCAATTCCATTGTCATTTTTGAATGTCAAATGTATGTAGAGCTCAAATGTAAACAAAGCATCTAAGCATGATATTCGTGATATACTCTGTGGATGCGGCCCCTCTATGACCAGAAGCAAAGTTGTCAATATAACGAACATATCGCTTTTCTAAAGGAACAGTTGTACCACCAGAAGTCACGCACACCACCCTGTTTGCTTTTCTATTTACTGAACATGGAGACAGACAAGAAAGTCTAGCATCTATATTTGAAGAAAAGAGAATTAAAAGGCTAAAAACTATGAGATGTTGATATTTAAAGAAATAATAATTGCCTGATAATGAAGTATTGCGATCAACAAACTCCTTCAAACTTTTTTCAGTTTCAGCAGCATCCTTCAGCGGTGGAGCTGACTCAAAGAAGGACATTACTTCATTTTTCGGCGTTTCTGGTAACTGATCAGCATCATCAACTGCTTCCATGCCAAAACTTGACAAGATGGTTTATTTAGCCACTCGATTAGCTAACAAGTTAAAAGCTCGAGAAGCTGTCATATAACAAATCATCAGGCATAAAAAATATCCCATAACAGGCAATTTTCCAAGATAAATCTGACCCTTAAGATCCTTATCAATATTCCATGTAACTGGTAAGCAAAGGATAGTATTTCACTGACACGAGCAATCACTCCATAACGGGCGATGAAATACACATGCTGCACGTCAAACTTCAATTAGACCAAGGCTTATATCAAAGGATTGAGTTTTAACAACACTTTGATATCTTTCCACAAAATTGAGATTATACCAATATTTTCCATTTTTCAAAAAATCCAGTAAAAGCTGAAATGCTGAATAAAAATAGAGAATCATTGCCACACAACAGATACATAGAGCATGCCCAACAAGTTCACTCCTTAATTGTCTTTTCCCTAAATTTTTGTCTATTCCTATCAATCAGAGGCGGTGCCACAACCAAGGACGAGATTTCAATTGAATCGTCTTTGTTGGAAAATTGTTCCGTACAAATAGGGTTAAACCAATTTTTTTCGTATATATATTACCTTTTGAATCTCTTGTAGTGGAAAAGGTAGTTCAAAAAATTGATTTAGGTCACAAGTTCAAATTTTTGAATCCCCATGTTAAAATTTACGGCTCCGTCACCGCTATCAATTGCACGTCAAAATTTCCAAATGAGGAAAAAATATGGGTGAAGACTACATAGAAGTAATTTTAGAATATCAAGGAATGTGATGCACATCCCCAAAAAAATTTGGACTGAGGAACTGGGTTTTACCTTTCCGGAAGTAAGTTGAGAAGAATTTCTGAATTTGGAGAATTCGGCGGCAAATACAAATGTAGTTATAACTATTCGTTTTTTTTTTTCTATTTCTAATAATTAATGGCAGCCAGTTTCCGGCAACCGTTTGGTAATCTTTTGACGGCAATATGCCATTTGTTAGTTTAAAGAAAAGTGTGAATGTGAAAATAATAGTTATGATAATGTTTACTCATACATCCGTCAAAATATGATAATTACAAAGCATAAGAAAGCTTAAACAATATGTTTTATACGGATTTATCAAAGATTTTAATGGTTTTGATCTGCACTTTGGGAGTTAACACCAAAAATTCTAGAAAACATCGATGGCAAATAATATTGGCGTCCGTTCATGATTTTTTTCCCATTTGAGATCAAGCGAAAAGTTTTTTTTTTTTTAAAAACCTGCTTCTTTAAGTTATCGAAACAAATATTACTTATAGCCCATTTGGCCAAGATGCAAAAATCAGCTTATTTTGAGAAGTAGTTTTTCTCAAAAGTGCTTTTCTCAAAATTACTTTTGGTGAGAAACAGTTTGTGTTTGACTAATTAGTTAAAAAAGCACTTCTGAGCAACAATTAGTGTTTGACCAAGCTTTGAAAAACTGCTTCTAAGTGTATTTTTCTCAAAAGTGCTTCTCAAAAAAGTGCTTTTGGAGAGACGCTACTTTATTCTGCTTCTCCAAAACTGCTTCTGCTTTTCCTCAAAAGCACTTTTTTTCCTTCCAAAAGCTTGGCCAAACAGCTCAATTTTTGGCCAAAAGTGCTTTTGGCCAAAAAAAAGCACTTTGGGCCAAAAAGAAGCTTGGCCAAACAGGCTATTAGAGTAATTTACTCTATCCGTTTCAATTATGTGATTCGATTTGATTAACACTCTGTTTGGATCATTGTTCCTCATTTTTTTATAATGTACTGTGTCGTATTGTATCGTATCGTTTTATGAACATAATGTTTGGATGGATTGTATTGTTTGTTATTGTTAGATAATATTTTGTTGTTTGGTTTGACTATATTGTATTGTACTATAATTGATAAGTTTACTAAAATACCCTCAACTATTTAAATATTAAATTTATCAAAAATTATGTATAAAAATAAATTAAAAAAATAAAACAGAAGAAGGCGACACACCTTAAAAAAGCAGAACAAATGTGCGAGACAAAAGAAGGCAAAACAAAGGAGCACAGATAATTAGAATTGAGTTAAAAGCAAATAAGGAGAAAAAATAAAACATAAGGCGGCAAAACACCTTTAACGATAGCGGCAGAAGTTCAGAAAAAAAAGAGTAGGTAATAGGTTGGAGATTTGGAGATAAATTATAAAAAAAGATAAAGGGTAAAATAGAATTGTGGAGTAATAAGTTAGGGCTTAATTGGAAAGAAAAATAGGAAACAATACCACCACACGAAATCGATTGTTTCAAAAAAGGGGACTTTTCATTGTCCCGGAACTATGGATTTAACAATACAATACAACCAATTTTAATGAAACAATCAAAACAAACATTGTTTTGAGATAACAATACAACGGGGAACAATCATCCAAACAAGCTGTAAGGGTATTAAATTTAAGGAAGAAGCAACTTTTTTGAAGCATAATATCTTAAATATATCACAGTATTTGGGTAGCTATAAAACTTTATTATTAATGATAAAATGAGATGTTTAAGTGTAATTAATTCTTTTTAAGAACGAACTAAAATAAAATAGTATCACATAAACAGCAATAAATTATTCAACTTTTGTTGTACTAGGTGATGTATATGGTAGCTCATTCACTTTTACTTGTATATTTCATGGATTTTTCTATTATGAGAACTTCACTTTCTACGTCCTAATTTTATTAACATATTAACAATTGTGTGGTTAATCCTTTTTGACATTAAAACCCGATCAAAAACCAATTTATTAAAATAGTTAGCTGAATAGTTGGATGTGTTAGTGTGTAATAATCAAGCTAATGTACAACTGTCATTAGAGTTAACTAAACAGTAATAGTGGTGGTTAGAGACACGTGATAGTCACGTGTATATGAGTCTATAAAGGCAGCTCTCTTGCACTCTTTCAAGCTAATTAGAAAAAATTTTCTTCCTCTCTTCTATCGTTTGCTTCTAGAAAATTCCTCCATGCATGAGCTCCATGATGCTCTGTCGTTGTAGATCAAATCTTAATTGTCCTTAATTTTGACATGTTATCAGAGCGACGATCGTGAGGAATCTGCATCGGCGCAAAATTTCGGTGAAATCAAGTTGGTAAAATCTGCAAATATGGCCGAAAATGAGGTAAGCTCACTCGATCACACTCATCCGCTATTTCTCCAAGCAGGAGAAACTCTAGGGCTGATTTTAATGCCAATTAACCTCACATGGCCAGAGAATTATGTATTCTGGAGCAGGGCAATGAAATTGGCTCTACGAGGAAAGGGTAAGCTAGGATTTATAGACGGGTGCAGTGTGAAAAGTAAATACAGAGGTTATAATTAGCTGAGCAGTGGAAAAATGTAACGCGATAGTATTGTCATGGATTGGAGTACAATTTCGACTGAGTTGATGGTATTGTGTATGCCTCAGATGCGAGAAAAGTCTGGAATGATTTTCAGGGAAGGTTTGATAGACCAGACCTAACTAGAATTTATCACCTTTCGACTGCAATTGCAATAATGAGGCAGGGTACAGACTCGGTGACTAGTTACTACACAAAAATGAAAGACCTACGAGATGAATTGGATGTTTTAGCCCCAATATCTTCCTATGATTGTGAAGAGTCTAGGTCATCTGTAGAACACTTAAAGTCACAGCGTATGTTACAATTTCTTATGGGCCTAAATGAGAGTTATGGCAATGTGAGAAACAACATCCTTGCTAGAAGGCAAATTGTAATTGTGAATGAAGCTTATGCTGTTGTTACTCAGGAAGAAAGCCAGGTGTAGTAGACACTCATAGAATCCACTAACCATGCTTGCAGGGAGGACACAAGGATTTAAGCAGAAAGCTACAGGATTGGTGTGTGAACATTGTGGTTACAAAGGGCACTTAAAGGAAAATTGTTACAAGATTGTAGGATACCCTCCAGATTTTAGAAGCAAGAAGAAAGCAGGACAATTTGGTGTAAACTCAGGACAATCAAATTTGAGAACACAAGATGGTGGAGGTTTCAGACCTTATGTCAATAATGCAACTGCAGAAGGTCAGATGCAAGGACATTGTTTCACCGAGGAAGAATATCCACAGCTGATGGGATTGCTGAACAAGCCACCACCAACTGATTGCAATGCAAATATGGCAGCAGTATTGTTTCATTGTTATCTACTATATATGCTTGTGAGTGGATAATTGATTCTCGAGTTTCACAGCACATTACACCCTACAAAGAGTTATTAGAAGAGTTAAGGAGTTTAGAGAAGCAACATCATAGTAGAGTAATAAATCATCTATAACAAGTGCAGGCAGTACAATGATCTTAGGAAGTTAAAAAATCACAAATGTGTTACATATACCAGACTTCAAGTTCAATATGCTTTCCGTCTCGAAGTTAACCAAGGAGTTACTATATTAAGTCAATTTTTTTCTTAATTTCTATGTGTTTCAGGGACTTTACAATGGCAATGTGATGGGTATTGGTAGAGAGAACAATAGCCTTTACATTCTACAAAGAGGGTGGAAGCCTACTGTAGGTGCAACAATAACAAAGAATAATGAAAATGGAGCAGAACTATGGCACCTAAGACTAGAGCATACACCACAGTTGCAATGCAACACATACCTAGTCTTAAAAAAAGCCAATGGCATAGTGCAGGAACACTATCTTGTATGTCCAATGGCAAAACAAGTAAGGTTAAGCTTTCCTAATAGTAGAAGTAAGTCCAATAGTATCTTTCAGTTGATACATGTTGATGTTTGGGAGCCTATAGAAAGCTTACATTTGATAGAAAGCAGAATTTTGTAACCATAGTTGATGACTACAGTAGATACACTTAGATTTGTCTGATTCAGTCAAAGTGTGATGTCTCAATTGTACTCAAGAATTTTTTGGCAATGATAAGAAATCACTTTGGTGTCACTGTGAAAACATTAAGATCAGATAATGGAACAAAATTTTCAACTCTCAATGTAATGAATTATTCTCTTCTCTTGAGATAATTCACCAAAGTGGTTGTGCTTACACACCGAAACATAATAATATAGTAGAAAGGAAGCATAGTCATATATTGGAAGTTGCAAGAGCCCTGAAGATTCACAGTTCCATCCCTATCAAATTCTAGAGAGAATGTGTGAAGACTGCAGTCTACTTGATCAATAAGTTACCTACTACAGTGCTAGATGGGAATTCACCTTACAAACTGCTTCATGGCGAGGAGCCTAGACTAGACCATCTTAGGGTATTTGGTTGTTTGTGTTATGCAAGCACTTTACCTAAGGGTGACAAGCTAGCTCCAAAAGCTAGAAAGGCAGTACTGATGGGGTACTCTGAGACTCAGAAAGGATATAGACTGTTTGATCTGGAGTCAAAAACTTTCTTTGCTAGCAAGGATGTCAGCTTCAAAGAAGAGATTTTCCCCTTTAGGTCAATGCCAGTTGAAAAGGAAGAAGAGGTGTTTTTCATGCCTCTTACAGATATGACAAGCAATTTCAATCATACACAAGATTATAATGTATATGAGGATCAACCTCTTCCAGTTCAACAAGTAGATAACTCTGGAGGATGGGAGGAAGCAGCAGAACCGGTTTCCAATTCTGATCATGAGATGTAGATAGCAAATATTACCAACACAGAAGATTATGCCACCTCTTCACAGTCCAATACATCAGAAGAACCTATGTAGGCTTCAGAACCAGCTGAATAAGTCAGTATTAGTGAACAACTGCCTGATTGTGGCAGAGGAAAGAGAGTAATCAAGCCACTTATTTGGCTCAAAGATTATGTCACCACTGCAGCAAAGCCTACCATATGTTCATATTCTATTGCCAATTATGTGGGGTATGATCACTTGTATGCAACCTATCAAGAATATCACAGCCTATTCTCAACTCATACATAACCAAAAACCTTCAATGAAACATCCAAATACTAGAAATGGATTGAAACTATGTAACAAGAAATTAATGCATTGGAACAAAATCAGACTTGGGAGCTAGTAGACCTACCTAAACGGAAGCAAGCAGATTGGTCAAAATGGGTGTATAAGATCAAGTATAAGTCAAATGGATAAGTACACAAGTACAAGGAAAGGCTTGTAGCTAAAGGCTACACTCAACAAGAGGGATTAGATTACGATGATATTTTTTCCCCGGTTGCCAAGATGGTAACTGTCAGGATAGTGATTGGTGTTATAGATTCACACAATTGGCCTATATACCAAATGGATGTCAATAATGATTTCCTCTAGGAGATTTATTGGAAGAAGTCTACATGGCTCTGCCTCAAGGGTTCCAAAGCCAAGGGGAGTATAAGGTGTGTAAGCTTCTCAAATCATTATATGGTTTGAAACAGGCATCCAGACAATGAAACATAAAGCTGACTGATGCTCTTCTAACTACATTAAGAGTCCCCATGATCATTCTTTATTTACCAGAAAAGAAGGTGATGAAATAGCTATCATTCTAGTATGTGTGAAGGATCTCCCTATTATTGAAAATAGTGGAAGATTAGTTGATCAAGCAAAACAAACACTACATAAGGATTTCAAGGTAAAGGATCTAGGTGAGCTCAAATATTTCTTGGGGATTGAAGTATGAGATCTCAGAAGGGGATGCTACTTAATCAAAGAAAGTATACCCCTGAGCTAATCTCTGATGTTGGCTTAAGTGGAGCCAAACCAGTGAATACACATTTGGAAGTAAATGCTAAGTTTACCACAGTACACTATGATGCACATGTAGGAGGAATCACAGATCCTATTCTTACAAACACTACCTCATATCAGAAGCTCATTGGGAGACTAATCTATCTTACTATCACTAGACCAGATATCAGTTTTGATGTACAAGTGCTTATCCAATTCATGCAGCAACCTAAGGTCTCACATTGGAAAGCAACACTTAGATTGGTAAGGTACTTGAAAGGGTCACCTGATCAGAGTATACTACAGAAGAACAGTCCATGCACACAATTGACTATGTACTGTGATAGTGATTGGGCAGCCTGCCCAAACACCAGATGGCCGGTGACTGGGTACATTGTGAAGGTGGAGGATTCTTTTATATCATGGAAATCAAAAAAGCAACACACTGTGAGTAGAAGTTCAGCAGAGGCATAATATAAAAGTATGGCAGATGCAGTTTCAGAGATGATTTGGTTAACTGGACTGTTAGAAGAGCTGAATGTGTATGTCACTAAGCCGGTGAAATTATTTTGTAATAGTAAGGAAGCTATCCAAATTGCATCCAATCCCATCTGAAAGAGCGAAGCATATAGATATAGACTGCCATTTTGTTCGAGGCACCATTAAAGATGGTCTAATATTGCCTGAGCATGTCAACATCAAAGATCAATTGGTAGACATTCTGACAAAGGCTTTGGGAACTGCTCAAACCAGCTGCTTTTATCCAAGTTTGGAGTGCCCGATGTATTCCACCCTCCAGCTTGAGGAGGAATATTGAAATAGTTAGCTGAATACCTGGTTGTGTTAGTGTGTAATAATCCAGCTAATGTATAGCCGTTATTAGAGTCACTTAAACATTGTTAGTAGTGGTTAGAGACACGTGATAGTCACGTGAATAGAAAATCATGAGTTTGGAAGTTAAATTCATAGTTTTTGATATTATTTTGATGATTTGATTGCATGAGCAAGTCCGTATGATATTTTTAGACTTGCGTGCATCTTTGGTTTGGAGCCCCGAGGGCTTGGGTGAGTTTCGGATAGGTTTAGGCTATGTTGCGCTTATTTTGGGATGCTTCATCGTCGTTTCTTCAAGCAAAAATAATACCACATTGAGCAAATGCGATTCAAATTAAGTTTTATTTGAACCATTAGATCCATATCGAAATTACGGAGTCATAGGAAGAAGAATCATCGAATTTGGACATCGTATGAGGAAGTTATGCTCATTTTTGTGTCAGGAAAAATTGCTGGTTCTGGTGTGGTCGCAAATGCGAACTTTTTATCGCATTTGCGATGCCCAGTTCGCAAATGCGAGATTTTTGTCGCAAATGCGACTTCTGCCAGCCCTGTGTTGTTCGTAATTGCGAGGGGTTCGCAAATGCGAACCCTGGGTCGCAAATGCGACATCTGAGGCCTGTTAAGTAAGGTTTTTGACGAGATTTTCACCCATTTTTCAATTTTCTCAAACCCTAAACCTCCATGGACGATTTTCCAAGGACCCAAACTTCTCCAAATCATTGGGTAAGTGTTTCTAATCAATTTCCAACTATATTTTATGATTATATCTTAGATTTAACANATTTCCAACTATATTTGGTGATTATATCTTAGATTTAATATCAAATTAATGAGAATCTAAAGAAAAATTTGGGGAAAATTGTGAAATCTTTCAAAAATGTAAAATGATGATTTGAATGACCGAATGGTATCGAAATTAGATAATTTTTATATGGGTGAACTCGTAGCGCAATGGGTGTTCGATTTTTGTAAATTTTATCGGGTTCCGAGGTGCGGGCCCGGGGAGTTGACTTTTTGCAAATTGTATAAGAATCATAGTTTTGTCAATTAAAATTATTTTCTCTTGCATTATTTGATGTATTCAAGTCGTTTTTGGCTAGATTGAGCCGAGCGTTGATGAATTGGTAAAAGAAAAGCTAAATTGAGTATTGAATTGGCCGGATTGAGGTAAGTATCTTGCCTAACCTTGTGTGGGGGGCTTCCCCTTAGGATTTGAGTCTTCTATGCTAATTGTAGTCCGTGCTTGTGAGGTGACGAGTGGGTGCTCGGACTTATTTGCGAGAAATTTGCTCTAGGGTTCATAGGTCCTTATGTTCATTATGTGAAAAGTAGCCCGTTATAATTGGTTTTCCTAATTGCTTAAATTACCTCTATATGCTCCATATGACGTTATTAGCTTTCCTCTAATTCTACGTGTTACATTGACCTTAATAACCTTAATTGAAGTGATAGCCTTCCTTATTGTCTTGATAATCCTTGATTGTAAGTTCCTCTATGACTTCGTGCAAATACGTTACATGTCCAATTGTTGTGGTTACCGGTATAACTATCACGTGCTTATTATGTCTTGTTGTTTTGTTGAGGTTATAGTGCTTCTTGGTTTTTCCGTGACCCTTATTATGTATTGTTGACTCCCTTGCCGGGATGTTATTGTTTCTATTGTTGATTACCTTGCCGGGACGTTATTGTTTCTATTGTTGACTCCCTTGCCCGGATGTTATTGTTTCTATTATTGATTCCCTTGCCGGGACGTTATTGTTAAAATTGTTGACTCCATTGCCGGAATGTTATTGTTTCTATCGTTGATTCCCTTGCCGGGATGTTATTGTTTCTATTGATTGATTCCCTTACCGGGATGTTGTTGATTCTACTGTTTGGGTGAGGAAGAGTGATAAAACACGAAGGGTGATGCAGTGTGTCACACCTCCTTTTTCACTACACCCCCGGAAAGGGTATAACAAAGGGAGTTTTTTCAATTAAAGGACAATCGAAACGGGATTCATTTTATAAAAATCAGAGTCACCACTTGGGAGATTTATGGTGTCCCAAGTCACCGGTTTGAATCCCGAATCGAGGAAAAGAATGACTCTGTTATTATAGTCTGCGAACCAAAAATCCGGGTAAGGAATTCTCTTAACCCGGGAGAAGGTGTTAGGCATTCCCGAGTTCCGTGGTTCTAGCACGGTCGCTTTGATAATACTTGGCTTATTAAATTATTTAATTACTGATTTTAGAACCTATGTGCATTTACTTCTTTCACCGCTTTTAATTAAAAAAATTATCTTGAAACGGGTTACGCGTACGTATACCCGCCCGTTTGGTGCATCAAAAATCATGTCACGCAAACGTGTCCACAATTAATAAAGCTTAATTATTATTAAGAAAAGTTTGGGCCGAAGTTGCGCGAACGCATACTCCGGTTTTATTTTTAGAAGTATAGTTGTGTTACGCGGACGTATACGTAACCACACTTGGTATTTTAAACGGCCCTAAAGGATATTCTACGAAATATTAGTCATTTTTACATCTAAGTCATGAAATTAATGTGAGGGCCATATGTGATTTAATGAATTATGACACCCCTCAAGCTATGTAAACTAAAATTAATTAATAGCCTGCAACCCATTTTATTATTAAGAAAGCGTTTGATCGAAGTTGCGCGAACGCATACTCCAAATTGATTTTTAGAAACGTGATCGTGTTACGCGAACGTATACACAATCACAATTGCACTTGTTAGTCATTATTAAGATTGGTGCGCCTAATTTAGTTATTAGAAACAGTTCAATTCAATCATCCACACAAACATATAAAATAGACAACCAAGAAAAGAAGAGCAAAGATAATTCACTAATTGTCCATCAACTTTCAAGCAAAGGACAATTTACCCATCACTCTTAATGAGGCCAAATAAGCTTTTGAATACATTCTGCGCATGGAATTTAAGTACAAGTATGGGAAGGAATAAAGTCTTACCCAAATGCATGTTCCGAAATAGTCAAGCTGCAGGTTCTCACCATAACAATACCACGACAAGGAATGCTCTTTATACAAAGTATATTGGTATACTGACCCAAGGATTCACAGTAAGTAGCAAATACATCCACTTATTGAAATAAATATGATGCCTTACTAAAGATATAGAAGGGACAGTGTTGTACCAGGGAATGCCAAACTAGGTGAAAATAAGTAGTTGATTATGCGTGTTTTCTTTCTTTCAACTCTTTACAAAACATCCTTTTGGCTCCAACATTTACAACAAAGACGGATGAGCACGATTTCAGCAGTTTTGTATCTAGTTCTACTCACATCAATAACACTAAACTATCAGAAGGAGTGAAGCACGAAGCATTCAACAGAGAAACTGGTCAACTTGAACATCACCAACTGGACATAGAATTTTGAATCTAGTGAGAATCAGGTCTCCTTGGTACAAAAACTAACTCAACTAACAGAAGAAATCGGAACTCAGCAACTAAATCACAAAGAATCCAGCGTAGGTATCAGTCTATAATCAATATAAAGAAAACCTCCAATAAACTGATTACTATTAGGATGTTTGAACAAAATCGAATTTGAAGCAGCGTTAACACAAACATCGACTAGCTATGAGCTGAATTTTCAAGCAGAAGCATCATGGTTAACAGTGAAGGACATTCTGGGCCAATTACACATTCCCAGTACAGCTTGATGGTTTCCTGAACCATTAACCCGGCCCTGAACCTTATGGCTCATGCTGAGTATAGCAGAATGAGCATACAAATGACTGGAGTGGATCCTCAAGTCAGTGACACACTCACAGCTCGCACACAACAAACAGGGAGTAAGGCAAACAATCAATGGATACCAAGTTCCTGACTTAAAGTTCTCATAATTTCGAATGCAAAACAGAGCCAGAGAGTAGGACAAATTCAGCCTTATGATCTCAAAGGATCCCCATGAACTAGATATTCAGTTTACACTTGAATTCTAAGGGTCTCCACCCTATATCAATTACTTGAACCTAATCGCTACAACTCAGACAGAAAACACCCTTACAATGAGAGAAAAACAAAGATCGATGCGAATAGTTCAGTCTTCATGCTCAAAATGTTAGGGTCAAAACAGAACAACCAAGGCAGACACAATTAGAAATTCGTAAAAAAAACAGTTGGAACACCTAAAGTAAATTTTAGAACAGGAATGCTACTCGACTACCTGCAAACGATTCGAAGAGACGAACATTCCTTAGCACACATACACAATCATAGAAGAGGCTAATACAAACAAGAGAAATGACTACACAAATCTCAGTTATTCTTTCAAACTTCAACCCATTTTATAGCTCACACAGATCGGTTTACAACGGGAAATAAAATGAGAAGAGAAAAGAACCTGGAATTAAGAAATTGAATTAGTACAACCTTGAAATCGACCAAGAGGAAGCAAATAGCAACTAAAATCAACCCCCGAGCAACAACAGACTCAAATTTGCCAAACGACTTCCATTTTACCCAAAAATCCAGAACCGTAATGAAAAAATGAACTCTAGAGGTTTCGAAAAGAACTCTAAATAGTAATCGACAAGAAAAATCAAATAACAGCCCCCTCAGTGATTTTTGTTGTTCCAATATCAGAAACGAAAGAACAAATAAAAC